ATTTGTTCCTGTGCTTTGTCAGGGAGTTTACACCATTTGTTCAAGAGTTTCAAGGTAACCCTCAGTGGGATCAGAGGATAATGGCCTGTAGAATGTGGTGTTAGAGAGCTGTCTAGCAGCCTCTTGGTCATATTCCAATTTATTCATGATGACGACAGCACCTCCTTTGTCAGCCTTTTTGATTATGATGTCAGGGTTGTTCCTGAGGGTGTTGATGGCGTTGTATTCAGCATGGCTGAGGTTATGGGGCAAGTGATGCTGCTTTTCCACAATTTCAGCCCGTGCATGTCTGCGGAAGTACTCTGTGTAGAAGTCCAGCAGCTGGGAATGGGCGACAGGGGATGGATCACTTGATGATCACCTGTTCTGTTCATTCCCTCTGGGGCACCTGGCACTGGCCACTGTCAGCAGACAGGACACGGGGTTAGATGGACCTTTGGTCTGACCCAGTAGGGCCGTTCTTATGAGTGGGTGAGGACAAAAGACTTGAGTAGGAGGAGGTCAGAGACATTCCATGATTCTTGAACCCTAACAAATCTTAGGAGCTTCATTTGTTTCCCCCATGGTCCTATGAGCCTTATTGGGGGAAGGGATAGCTCAGTGGTTTGAGCATTGGCCTGCTAAACCCAGGGTTGTGAGTTCAATCCTTGAGGGGGCCACTTAGGGATCTGGGGCAAAATCAGTACTTAGTCCTGCTAGTGAAGGCAGGGGACTGGACTCAATGACCTTTCAAGGTCCCTTCCAGTTCTAGGAGACAGGATACCTCCATTAATTTATGTTTACAAAGTTTGTTAGCCTCCCTCATGAGCCTTCTGATAGGAAAAAAAAAAGTTTTTCTATTGACAATTCTCCCTAGTGATCAGATTACAGTTTCAATTCTGTCTCTGCAAGAAAAAGGACCAGAGGCTCTTTTTTTTTGTTTAAATGAAAGTTTAGTGCTCCAGAAGAGCCCCTGACATACTATACTAAGATTGCCAAGTTGATTTTCCATTGTGTAGTTCCTAAGTAATAGGTGAGGTTGGTGTTCAAAATTATGGTCAAGGCAGTTTTGAGGCCAATATTACTATTTGGGAGGATTTTTTGTTTTGTTTTTATCAGGGAAGGGGGCAAAATTTTGTTTTATAGTGGAAACTCAGTCTTTGCAATTTGTGAGCCATAAGGGGCAAATATGGATATTAATTCTTGTGTATTCTGTTATATTTAGTGTTAGGTTACTCTCTAGGATTACTCCTTTATAGTTGGTCTTAGGAAAACCCGTGTATTCCTCTTCCTGTGGTTTTGTGAAGATAAGTTAGGGGAAGGGAGTAGCTCTGAGGCCCTCTCTACACTGGGAAGTTTGTGTGCAGTAAAACAGCTTTCTGTGCTGTAACTCCCGAGGTGTACACACTGCCAAGCCACTCAGTGCGCAGAAACTGCACAGTTGCAGCACTGTAAAAAAACCATCCCGACAAGAGGCGTAGAGCTTTCTGCGCTGGGGAGGAGGAAATCTTGGATGAGGACCCAGAAGCAGAGGATGACTTGGAGATCAGAGATGCATGCAGCCAGGAGCTCTCCTCTACCCTGGAGGAGACTAGCCAGTCACAGCTTTCGGAGCTTGGCGAAGCGCAAACAGGAGAGGAGGCCCCTGGTAAGTGGCTTTGATTTTGGGAATCGCTGAAGCGAGTTGTTGGGGGCAGGAGGGTTGCAGAAAGCAGGCTTGTGTCTGTATGATGCACATACCATCACATGCCTAGTCTGAGCGGCGGAACAGGGTGTTGATTGACTCCCTCACTTCACGGGCATCTGCCTCCGAGATCTCCAGGAAACTCTCCTGGAGATACTGGGCAATCTGCTGCCACAGGTTCTTTGGCAGAACTGCTTTGTTTCTTGCCCCATAAACGGTAACTTTCCCGTGCCACTGTGCCATCACAGGGGGCAGGGGGACCATTGCTGCACACAGGCGAGCCACATAAGGGCCAGGATGGAAGCCACAGTCTTGGAGAAGACCCTCCCTTGATTCCCTGCTCACCCTCAGCAGCGAGATATCTTCCACAATGAACACAATCTGTGGACAATGTAGGGACAGGAATGATTATCCGGCCCCCCCCACAGTGCTGGCTCTCCCCAAGAGCCATGTGCCCAGTGTACAGCAGGGTCCGGGAAGAGCGATTTCCCCTGCCCCTGCGGCTACTCACCATTTTGGGGGTCCTGTGGCTCACGTGGGCTTGCCTGGGGTCAGCCAGGTAGTGACAGGTGTGTGAATACTGGCTGTGTTTTAAATCACTGAATCAGTATTATCTGTGTTGCAAACAATACTGCTTCTGTCAAATGTTGTGTTTAAACTTCACAGAGATGACCTTGAGAGCCCAGCCTTCCTCTTTGTTATTGCCAGCTGAACGGCTGCGCAGAATTAGAACGCGGGAGGACTTTCTGTGTGATGTCATGATGCACTCCGTGGCCAATAAACAGGAATTGAAGGAGTGGTGGGACAGCGAGAAGAGGGACCAAAAGGAGAATGTGGCACGCCATAATGAAGCCATGGAGTGGCTCTTAAAGGTTATGGAGTGTCAAGCATACACGCTCCAGGCGCTATTAGCACTGCAAACCGAGCAGCTCCGCGCCCGCCCTCCCCTGCAGCCACTGTCGCAAAACTCTTTCCCATGCGCCCCCCAGACACCACCAACACACTCTTATCAACCTCCTGGCTCCAGTCTGTACCCACTGCATTGCACTCCTGCCCCATCACAGTCCAGCACTACCCACTACACTCAACACCCAGCCCTCTGCAGTTTAGTCCTGCTTGAAGTACAGCACCCGCTGCACTGCACTGTACTCCAAAGGAGAAGGTTTGATATGATCCCTGGACATACACAAATCTTTAGCCGTCCTGGGACGACAACGACTCCTGGGACCTTCCCTTCCCCCATCCCCCTCACTGGTGGGTTTTTTGTTTGGCTCTCTCCTCTGGTTGTTGTTTTTTTAAATAAAAGTATTGTGTTGGTTTGAAAGCAATCTTTATCCATTAATTGAAAGCAAAAAGAGCCCTTCGAAGCAACAGACAGTTATCTTAAACCTTCATATTGCATCATCTGCCCCAATCACAATCACCACCTAGCATTACAAGCACTGCATTCCCGAGCATAGCAATAAATATTAGAGGCTTTCAGCTTCAAATTGGTGCCTCAAGACATCCTTGATCCTTATGGCCCCGCGCTGAGCCCCTCTAATAGCCCTGGTCTCTGGCTGTTCAAATTCAGCCTCCAGGCACTGAGCCTCAGTGGTCCAGCCATGAGTGAAGCTTTCACCTGTCCCTTCCCAAATATTATGGAGCGTACAGCATGCAGCTGTAAGCATGGGAATATTGTCATCAGCCAGGTCCAGCCTCCCATAGAGGCAGCACCATCGGGTCTTTAAACAGCCAAAAGCACACAACAGTCATTCTGCACTTGCTCAGCCTGTTGTTGAACCGCTCCTTGCTGCTGTCAAGGTGCCCGTGTATGGCTTCAGAAGCCACGGCATTAAGGGGTAGGCGGGTCTCCCAGGATCACAATGGGCCTTTCAACTTCCCCTACTGTGATCTTCTGGTCCGGGAAGAAAGTCCCGGCTTGCAGCTTCCTGAACAGGCCAGTGTTCCGAAAGATGCGTGCGTCATGCACCTTTCCGGCCCAGCCTGCGTTAATGTCTGTGAAATGCCCACGGTGATCCACAAGCGCCTGGAGAACCATTGAGAAATACCCATTCTGATTAATGTACTCGGTGGCTAGGTGGTGTGGTGCCAGAATTGGAATGTGCTTGCCATCTATCGCCCCTCTGCAGTTACTGAAGCCCATTTGTGCAAAGCCAGCCACAATGGGTAAGGAATGGTGTCCCTAGCCTCTGTCTGTCAGAGGGTGGAGATGGATGGCAGGAGAGAGATCACTTGATCATTGCCTGTTAGGTTCACTCCCTCTGGGGCACCTGGCATTGGCCACTGTCGGCTGACAGGATACTGGGCTAGATGGATCTTTGATCTGACCTGGTACGGCCGTTCTTATGTTCTTAATGTCACACACGTTGCCCAGAGTCACGAACTTTTGGAGCAGGATGTGATTAATGGCCCTGCACACTTGCATCAACACGACTCCAACGGTCGGCTTTCCCACTGCGAACTGGTTAGCGACCGATCGGTAGCAGTCTGGAGTAGCCAGCTTCCAAATTGCAATAGCCACTCGCCTCTCCACCGGCAGGGCAGCTCTCATTTTTGTGTCCTTGCACCGCAGGGTGGGGGCGAGCTCATCACACTGTCCCATGAATGTGGCTTCCTCATGAGAAAGTTCTTCAGCCACTGCTCGTCATCCCAGACGTGCATGACAATGTGATCCCACCACTCAGTGCTTGTCTGCCGAGCCCAAAAGCGGTGTTCCACTGTGGTCAGCACCTCCGTGAATGCCACAAGCAATCTCGTGTCGTAGATACAATGTGTGGCGAGATCAATGTCGCACTCCTCTTGCCTTTGCAGTTTAAGGAATAACTCCACTGCACTCGTGACGTGTTGGTCAGAGCGAGCAGCATACTGGTCAACAGCTTGGGATCCATTCCTGCAGCCCGAAGAGGCAGGGAGCACAGTGCACAAACCGCTGAAAGATGGCGCCAAATCCGGACTGAAGCACAGGGATTACTGGGATGAGAAGCAATGCATCCCGGGGCATTGGGACAGGACCCAGGATGCCCCACGACCCCCTCCGCCTTTCCACAACTCTTAGCGGCAGAAGAGGAAGAGGTGCTCTGTGGGATAGCTGCCCAGAGTGCACCGCTCCGAATACCACTGCAAGTGCTGCAAGTGTGAACACGCTATTGCATAGGCAGCTGACAGTGTGAACACACAACAGTGGTTTCCCTTCGGCGCTCTGAGCGGCGCTGTAACTGCCAGCACTGTAACTCTGCCAGTATAGACACACCCTTAGTGTTGTTTGGGCAGCTTGGAGAAGGTCAGTAATAGTGATTCCTGTTTGTTGATGTCTTTTTTTTTCTCTCTGTCTCAGCAACTCATTCCCTGCGGTATTTCCACACTGCAGTCTCTGATCCTGAACCTGGACTCCCAGCGTATGTCTCTGTTGGGTATCTCGATGACAACCTCTTTGTTGAGTGTGACAGTGACAGTGGGCGGTACAAACCACGAGCCCAGTGGATAAAGGACAATGTGGGTGCTGATTACTGGGAGAGGGGTACCAAACGTGGAATCGCACAAGTGCAGGCGTTCGGAATCGGCATGAGAATTTTAATGGAGCGCTACAATCAGACTGGGGGTGAGTTTGAGAGAAATTACCAACCCTACAGGCCTAATGGAGAGGGGAATATTTATAATGCTTATGTGTTAGTTACCCTGACTTCACAGCCAGTCATCTCTAGATCACATCCCTCATTTCACTTCTGTGTATGTTTTATTAGACCTGAGGCACAATGTAGAAATTACAAAGAAAGAGCAGAAGGAGAATTGTTCTGCTCAGGGTGGTGTTTCCCAGATAGAGACGCCCTGTGCCTGACTCACCTGTCCTGCCCCTTGTGTCTTCATTCTCACCTCTGAAAAGTGGGTGAATAATAGTACAGTAACTCCTCACTTAACGTTGTAGTTATGTTTCTGAAAAATGCAACTTTAAGTGAAACGATGTTAAGCTAATCCAATTTTCCCATAAGATTTAAGGTAAATGCAGGCGTTTAGGTTCCAAGGAAATTTTTGGGGGGCAGACAAAAGGCATTATATACTGTACAGTACTGTGCCCCTGGCTTACTCCACACAGGCACAGCCTGCTGCAGACAATGAGGCAAGCAAGGACGCTAGGAAGCACCTTGTGCAGCAGCAGCTTCCCCCCAGAAGAACAGGTGCTGACTTTGCCGGGGGATGCTCCAGGCCCGGCTCTTCCCGTCCCCACTCCACCTCCTCCCCGGAGCACGCCACATCCCCGCTCCTCCCTCTACCTCCCAGTGCTTCCCTGCCGCTAAACAGCTGTTTGGCTGCACTTAGGACTTTCTGGGAGGGAGGGGGAGGAGCGGAGATGCGGCGCTTCCCCGCTCCTCCCCCTCCCACCAGTGGTGGATTTAGAGTTAGTGGGGCCCTGTGCTCAGCTTCAGTTTTGGGGCCCCCCCGTTGGGGAAGCATTCTCTCTTATCTCTCCCCCCACCCGTTTTTCATTCTTTTTTTCTCCATTCTCCTCCTGGGGCTCAGGGCTGGGGGTGCGGGGTCTGGGAGGGAGTTAGGGTGCGGGAGGGCGCTCAGGGTGGGGTGCGGGGTCTGGGAGGGAGTTAGGGTGCGGGAGGG